CAATACAGTGAGAAATCAAGTTTCACTGAGTATACCCATATGATCATGGGGTTAAACTGACAAAAAAAAATGGTTTATAAAATATTTTCACTCAGAAATTGCTAGTAAATTTCACAATTACAAAGAAATGGCAAGTTACATTGAATTAAACATCAAATTTTAAAGTAGAAAACTGAAATAGTATTTTATTGTAAAACAAACTTCAAAAATCATTGTTTTATTTACAACTTTGAAAAATAATTACATTGTACACATAATGTTTAATTGTCTATTTATATAAATAATAAAACCAGTTTTGGTTTAATAATAATAAAAATCATTTACAGTAGACAGTAAAGGCATACTACTAGGTTATCCGGCACTAATATGCATAATGTTTTAAACTTTTTTGGGTTTAATTATTTATATTTAAATTTAAACGCTGTAGTGGGGAGCTGGGGGAAGAAGTTGACCATTGGCATAAAATTAAATTTCATGAACAAATTAAATGTATATACAAACTTTCATTTGTAGCAGATAAATGAAAATGTCATCACAGTTTGATTTTTATTTTGTATAGAATATTAGCAAGTGGCCTGGTATCAACAAGTGCATTTATTTTAAAGAAACAGCACAAGCTTGTTATTTATTTATTTATTTAGAAATAAAAAAAGTGTTCAAAACTAAAACAAAATCTATTTGGACACTTTAAATGTTGGTCAAACATTAGAGGAAAATGTTCATAGTTAATATGATGACTTCAAACGTATACAGCCACTAAAAATTAGAGACAAGCTGTTGCTATCTTTTGTAATCTAATTTAATGATAAGTGTCATAAAGTGCCCATATACTGCCCATTTAATATTTGAAAACAAATCACATTTGAATTGTGCACTTAAAGTACATATTATATAAACAGAAGAATATTGAAGTAATATCCATGACAAAACTATTTCATCATTATTCTCACTATATCAAATATTCCTGATGTTGCTAGTATTAAAGTATGGGGAATCCCCACAGACTGTATTTGCGGCACAAACAGAGTACAGGCCTTGTAGTGTCACATATCCTTACCCGCTCTGACACCTACACACAGTTCAGTGACATGCAGAGTCACGGTTTCACTCATACAAGTTACGGTTTTGTTCAATTGCAATAAAGGGAAGTACTTTGATTAAATCAAACAATCGGCACCGTAGGTGTGCATTTCCTCAAAAAGCGAAACAATGTTTAAAATCCAGAGCATTTAGTTACTGTAAGTGAAGTTTCTACATTCATTCACAATGCTTTTTAAACTAATCTTAAAACCTTTTGATCTGGTTACATGCCTTTCTTAATAATAAGTTCACGTTTGGGTCAATGACAACTAGAGTGAAAAGGAAAAATGCTTTAAAAAATGTATTTCAAATTGAAAGTTGTACACTTTGTATTCATGTTGGTTTCACGTATTTTTGAAAAACTGCTACAAATTTCAAGTTTAGTCAACATTACACCACAAATGCTGTTGACTTAACTTAGTCTAAAGGAATAGATCAAGCAAAATGAAAATTCTGTCAATTACTCACATAATGCCGTAACCTGTAGGACAATAGCGTGAGTAAATGACAGAATACCTTATACTAACTTATTGAGCCAATTTTATTTTTTATCTACTGAAGTAATTTAGAAATCTATTTATTAATGTCACTGTTGGTACTACAGAGGAGAAATCCAATTATAATCCAGACTTATTTACAGATTTTTTCCCCTTTACTTTTACAACATTTTCAGTAACGTCAGGGGAGCTGTGTTTATTTCCTGTCATTCATTTCTAATTTCCTGTGTTTGCTCATTCAAATACACCCCCCAGTCCCCCATACAATATTCACAGTAAACTGCACTGTTATTTTAAATATATTAAAATATAACACTTCATGGCATATAGTAGCAGTTATCAAAGTGTTTGCAAACGCAACCCAGAGAGTGTCTAGTCTGCTACAGCAGGATGTGATTGCATCACACTTTACAGTGTTGACTCATGTGCTTGAAATCCTTTTCATGCCATACCACACTAGAAAGGGAGTGTCGCTTTTACAAGTCACAACTTTATAATTACTCAGTTCACCATGTCAGGCAATGTAAGCCTTTATCAGACAGGAAGTACTGTATATCTGTGGGTGTGTCAGTATATATGTGTAAAGCTTTAAAAAGTAAATTAAAAACACTAAAGGTCCAAATGTTTTTACTCACTCACAGTATTAATAAGCCTTCAATTTACAATGCATCAGAATGCATAATAAGAAATAAGACTGTCATTGGACGCAGAAATGTTCAAAGATAACTCTAAACAAATATTCTATTAACATCACTGGATTGAACATTCCATCATAAAAAAAAACTTGCCTGACAGCATTGTTAGATTCCAGTGTTTCCAGTCATGACTATGCAAAGATTTGATTTCAAAAACAGTATCACAGCTATTAAACTATTTCTTGTTGTGATTTTAAATCTGTATTTAACCTCAGAATGATGAGAATTGGGGGGCCCGTTCGCCGCGGGGCTCCTTCAAGCATGGGGCCCCGTGCGACCGCACCAGTTACACGCCCTTAAGGACAGCCCTGTGCACACCCCATCTTTCCCCAGTAATTTATAACAAAGTTTGACATTTTATAGATGGCATTTTACAATAATAGGATAATTAAGTTTATTAACAATCAAATGTGATATTTCAGCACACTCACCCATCCACTGTAATGATGCCTGCTATGACTGATTTTCCATTTGAGGATTGACAAGTAGTGACTAATGATTGTATTGCATTGAAAAAAACACTCCAGTATTGAAATACTTTCATTATGACTATGATTAAGTTATTAAAGGCAGCAGTCACACAGGATATGCTGTTGCTTTTTTTCATAAAATAATACATTCTGTTCTACATTCATTTCTACATTCTGTTCTACATTCATTTCTAAGGTCTCTAAATGATCAGAATGATCAAAACTTTGCTGAAACTTTGTCGTTGTAAATAATTTTCTATATGCCTTTTGTCGTCTGATTGATGGTTTATTCTTAGCAAGGCCTTTTAGTATGATTCTAAAAATGTCCCCCACTTTTGATTTTTATCAAAGAAACGTAACTTTTATATTGTTAGCAATATGTCAAGACAAACACTTACTGGACTGAAGCAACTTAGGTTATTATCCATATATAATTTTAAAATCATGTTCAAATGTATCAGATTTGATACAACAGGCTTTTGAGAAATGTTTATTTGTACATCTCTCAAATCTCATTGGACTGGACTGGATTATATATTTTGCCCCCACAATACAAAATACAGGGCATTGATTATAAATCAAATATGATCTTACTAAGGCATATTATTGGGAGAAATAGTGACATGATATATGCCTTTTATGTAAGTAGTTTGTAAATGTACAAGCGGTCACAGTGAGTTAGGGCAAGGATAGTAGATGAGGCAGGGGTTTGAATGCACGTGGTCTTTATTAAACTGAACAAAACACTCTGGATCAAAGGAAACCACAGAAGAATAGCAAACCAACCAACACCCTGCACAGATAAGAACCGACAACTGAAGACCCAATGGTATAAATGCAGATTAAATTAGAGAACAGGTGTACAACAATAGGTAACTATGGAAACAAACGAGAACACACGAGTAGAAACTGACTTTCTTTCTTCTGTGGAACATAATAGAAGATATAGGCAACTCAGGAACAACATACAGGAAGAATGAACTCAGAAACAATAGAACCAAATGAACAGAGTCCTAGAACAGAAACCAAACATGACGCAACCTATCAGAATTAGGTGGGTGGTACATGTCAAAGTCACATCTGAAAGATTACCAGGACATAAGGTTTAAGTTTTTTTTTTTTAGCAATTTGAGCTACAGTATAGCTCTTTTCTGTGATGGGACTAGACAGACCTTGGGTGTCCATGACTCTTAAGACTGGTTCACGTTGTTCCAACTACTGCATGCCAGGAAAATCCCACAAGACTTGTTTTTTTTTTTAGGTGCTCTGACTCAGTCGTCTAGCCATGACTGGTCTTCAATGCCAACAGGACTGCTCACGAACCAGTTAATTGTTGAATTAGTCTCTTTTCTCTTTCTGTTTTTTTTTTTTAGTATAAACCAAACTGAACATGCATTTTTCCTTCCAATGTAAATATATAATTAAAACCACTTAACTGGTCCTCAATGTCAACTGGGCTGCTTACTAATCAGATAATTGTAGTTTAGTCTCTTATCTGTCAGACAGTAATTCTGAAGCAAATGCCATTAGAGCAGTTTCTATGAGGGCTAATGCACTAATGATAAGGTGTTATTTAACAACAATAAACCATTTGTCTCTAGTGTGTAAATACACTGTACTGTATATAGACATTTTCTAATGCTGCATAAATTTAATGTCTAAAATATTATTCTTAAATTAAATATCTGCCAAACTGTTGTTTTGAAGTGGTTGTCTGAAATATCACAGAAAAAAAGACCTGATATACTGTAAAAATCCAGAAAAATATTTTGAATCTTTTTAGACAAAGACAGCTCATTGTAATAGTGTTTATTGATTCTTTGTGGTCAACAAAATAATGTAATTATGAAGATGTATCCAAATACATAAAATGATCTTTCATGCAAATCATTACGAAGGTCATATTTGGTGATTGCAAACCCTTTTAATACAAAGTAACTTATAGCTTACTAATTCCAATGACAGCACCCATGAGTCCATGACACACCTCAATACAAGGTATTGATCATTCTCTTCACTCCGTAATGTTACTGAACCTGTACATGTTGCATTAACAGCCCAAATCCTTAATCAATTATTACATACACAAGCATATAGGTTTACAACGGCATAAACATTATTACATGTTTTTTTTTTACCAAATTTAATCAAAATGAAACAAAAATAAAACTTAATTACAAAATTAAAATTATTCCACAGTTGTAGTGCTTAAAATTGTAGCTTTTAAAACCCAAGCACCAAATTCAATCAAAATGAAACAAAAATAAAACTTAATTACAAAATTAACATTTTTCCACAGTTGTAGTGCTTAAAATTGTAGCTTTTAAAACCCAAGCCAATGCCTGTTTTGTCCCCAGCTGTGAAGCAGAAAAGTCTTCTCTTACAAAAGAAAATACCAAAAATAATACTATGGTATTAGCAAGTTGTTTAACACATACCATGGAAGCACCACGATATTCTTGAAAACGACACTAGAGGGAATGAATTTCACTACCATAGTTTATATCAAAGTACTCTAGTATTACCATGTGACACCATTAATGTACCACAGTATTTTTTGGTAAGGGCTTTCATCTGTACATGGCTATGCTACTGATTATAGCATAAATATATCTGAGATCCAAATTATTCTGCTAACAAAAGGAGAATCGGTTTAGACAGATGAATATGGTACTTCATGGCAGCCCTTTTGATCCTTATTCAAAGCTACAGAAGAAATTGTCTTTTTGTTTTTTGTATTCGCCGTATCCTCACGGGGTAAAATGTGGATACACCACAAAGACAGTTTTTTGCACAAATTTATCTCCAACATCAATGAGGTTCAGATTCTTGGACCACACCTTGAGTCTGTCCCCAGAGTTGAGATAAAAAATACCTTCAGAAAACAGACTTTTCCTCCAGTGTGTAATGTTCACTGTTTCGCAGTGGGTGAGCAGGGGCAGGTGTCCAGGATATCCGTCAGTATAATGATGAATATCATGTTGCAGAAATATTTCATCCCTTTCTGGCTTATCACTGAATTTTCTGTACGTAATCTGCAGAGAAACCTTGTATGTTCCGTCATGAAGGACTTTCAGAGATTCATTATCGTCATCCAAGATGAAGTATCTGGTATGGGTTGGTGACGAATACTCTGGTGTATCCATCCACGGCACAAATCCGTCTTTAGTGAAACGGACATCGTTTTTAACTAGAGAGGAGGGAAATGTGTGAATACACTTGGCAAAAAATATTACACATTCAGTATCTATGAGAATGAAAATTGCCCTAGTGACAGCATTGCACCTTTTTTTTCTAAGAGTGTACATAAGTTGTCTAATTAGGAGTACAACTCTTGCTTACGGTTCATCTTATCTTAATGCTAATTATGTTTTGTATTCATTTCTACTTTTGCATTACATCTTAATGCACTCAGTGTATTACTTCTTACCTGTCAGGCGAATGAAAGATGTGTCTCTTTGTGTCGGGGTCATTTCTTCTCTGCTATGCGATTCAAAATCTTGATGCTGCATTTCTATATGGATAAAAAATATGAGATTTTTTATTATTAGTTCTTTTTATTTGCTTTGGTTCTATTTTCACAAGTAAGATGTACTGTGTATTTTCAAAAATCCAAACTGATCACACTTGTAACACCACTAGTCATTCTTTTAAAAACTGATCTCATGCTTTCATTACAATTACACATGTTTTCAACCAACATAATCATTGTTTCAAAACACACGATTATTGTAATATATATTGAGAGCATTTGATTTAATCACCAAAACACGACAGTATGATCTTCTTTCAATATAGTTCTTTTAACAATCAGTTCATTCGAGAACAATGCAAAATACATGTTTCAAACCACCTCTGTTGCTGAAATAATTACAGTAATACAGGCAATAATTGTCATGTTAGAAAATACACTTACATTACCTAATTTGCATATCTCACATAAAATCCATAATGTTTGTAAAAGTATTTATCCAGTGTTACTGTATCAAAAGGTGTGATGAATGTATGAAATGGCCATAAGGTTTTGTGCTACAACACAAACACAGTTTACTGTCAATCCTCACTGTGCCATATGACTGAATTTATATTGTAGCTGGACTATGAAAGGTGAGTTATAGAGTATCACATGGCATAACGCAATATAAAATGCTATATTTGATGCCATCTGTCTCCCTTCTTCTGATACATCTCTGATCAATTCCTCTCCCTTGTACCATGCGGTGTGTTCACAAATTGCAAAACAGTTTTACAAATAAGGACATCTTCAAAGAGAGGTCTTGGTGATTTTGTCAAGTTTTGCTCACCTCTGGGTACCAGTTTTTCCCCAAAATATGGTTATGTACACACACACACACATTGGTATTCCTATCATTATGACATTCCATTGAAGTAATGGGTTATAACATAACATAGGGTTTACTTGAACCACACACACACACAATTACAAAATAGTGGTTATCATCTAAGATAAATCACTTATAGTGTAAAAATAATTCATTACATTTGGTTATCCCTAAATTGACAACAAGTTCTATAGAAACTATATCTACTGAATCTATATCTATGGACATCTATAGATGCACCAAATGATTCACTGGTTAACCATTAGATGAATTTGATTAAATACAGGTGCATCTCAATAAATTAGAATGTCGTGGAAAAGTTCATTTATTTCAGTAATTCAACTCAAATTGTGAAACTCGTGTATTAAATAAATTCAATGCACACAGACTGAAGTAGTTTAAGTCTTTGGTTCTTTTAATTGTGATGATTTTGGCTCACATTTAACAAAAACCCACCAACAAATTAGAATACTTCATAAGACCAATAAAAAAAAAAATTTTAGTGAATTGTTGGCCTTCTGGAAAATATGTTCATTTACTGTACATGTACTCAATACATGGTAGGGGCTCCTTTTGCTTTAATTACTGCCCCAATTCGGCGTGGCATGGAGGTGATCAGTTTCTGGCTCTGCTGAGGTGGAAGCCCAGGTTTCTTTGACAGTGGCCTTCAGCTCATCTGCATTTTTTGGTCTCTTGTTTCTCATTTTCCTCTTGACAATACCCCATAGATTCTCTATGGGGTTCAGGTCTGGTGAGTTTGCTGGCCAGTCAAGCACACCAACACCATGGTCATTTAACCAACTTTTGGTGCTTTTGGCAGTGTGGGCAGGTACCAAATCCTGCTGGAAAATGAAATCAGCATCTTCAAAAAACTGGTCAGCAGAAGGAAGCATGAAGTGCTCCAAAATTTATTGGTAAACGGGTGCAGTGACGTTGGTTTTCAAAAAACACAATGGACCAACACCAGCAGATGACATTGCACCCCAAATCATCACAGACTGTGGAAACTTAACACTGGACTTCAAGCAACTTGGGCTATGAGCTTCTCCACCCTTCCTCCAGACTCTAGGACCTTGGTTTCCAAATGAAATACAAAACTTGCTCTCATCTGAAAAAAGGACTTTGGACCACTGGGCAACAGTCCAGTTCTTCTTCTCCTTAGCCCAGGTAAGACGCCTCTGACGTTGTCTGTGGTTCAGGAGTGGCTTAACAAGAGGAATACGACAACTGTAGCCAAATTCCTTGACACGTCTGTGTGTGGTGGCTCTTGATGCCTTGACCCCAGCCTCAGTCCATTCCTTGTGAAGTTCACTCAAATTCTTGAATCGATTTTGCTTGACAATCCTCATAAGGCTGCGGTTCTCTCGGTTGGTTGTGAATTACAGTAATACAGGCAATAATTGTCATGTTAGAAAATAGACTTACATTACCTAATTTGCATATCTCACATAAAATCCATAATGTTTGTAAAAGTATTTATCCAGTGTTACTGTATCAAAAGGTGTGATGAATGTATGAAATGGCCATAAGGTTTTGTGCTACAACACAAACACAGTTTACTGTCAATCCTCACTGTGCCATATGACTGAATTTATATTGTAGCTGGACTATGAAAGGTGAGTTATAGAGTATCACATGGCATAACGCAATATAAAATGCTATATTTGATGCCATCTGTCTCCCTTCTTCTGATACATCTCTGATCAATTCCTCTCCCTTGTACCATGCGGTGTGTTCACAAATTGCAAAACAGTTTTACAAATAAGGACATCTTCAAAGAGAGGTCTTGGTGATTTTGTCAAGTTTTGCTCACCTCTGGGTACCAGTTTTTCCCCAAAATATGGTTATGTACACACACACACACATTGGTATTCCTATCATTATGACATTCCATTGAAGTAATGGGTTATAACATAACATAGGGTTTACTTGAACCACACACACACACAATTACAAAATAGTGGTTATCATCTAAGATAAATCACTTATAGTGTAAAAATAATTCATTATATTTGGTTATCCCTAAATTGACAACAAGTTCTATAGAAACTATATCTACTGAATCTATATCTATGGACATCTATAGATGCACCAAATGATTCACTGGTTAACCATTAGATGAATTTGATTAAATACAGGTGCATCTCAATAAATTAGAATGTCGTGGAAAAGTTCATTTATTTCAGTAATTTAGACAAATGTATTAAACTGAATGAGAAGACATGCAAATTAAAAGTTTAATAGTAAGAGCTTTATGAAAGGCATTTACTGTGAATGATATTAGTATTACAAGTTTTGAAAATTTAATAGTTACTTGTGAAAAAAAAATATATATAGTAAAAAGCAAATAAAAGAAACTGTCATATGAATTTCCATAGTCATGCTGTATATACTGTATGATGGTACAATAAAGAGGAAAACTTTACTTAAGGACCAATTCTCATTATTAACTAGCATGCAAATTACTAGCATATTGGCTGTTTATTAGTACTTATAAAGTACATAGTAATGCCTTATTCTGTTTGACCATATTTTAGATACATTAATTCTACCCCCTACTTAAACTTAACTTCCTAACTAACTAATAAGAAGCAAATATTGAAACTATTGAGGCAAAAGTCATATAGTGAGAACTGGACCTTAAAATAAAGTTTGACCCTGAATTCAATATTCACAAAAAAAAAAAAAAAAGATTTAGTAGTAAATAATGACCTTACCAAATTTAGATGCCTCCTTAGTTCCGTTTTCCTATGAAAAGAGAGCAAATGTAAACAGTTTAATACACACACAATGAATCCTAAAATTAACCAATGCATTGATTCTCTCGGTCATACCTGCATGTTTCATTCCCCACCCCCCATTAGGGCTATTATTGAGTAATCACATAGAGAGCAGCATATTTTTTCCCATTACACTTGTGACTATGTATTATTATGTATTTATTTATTAGATTATAGCACTTATTCCTTTTCTTTTAGTCATTATCCTGTTAGTCATTATCATATTCCACTGCTACTGGTAACAATGCAAATAATTTGCCACTGAATTCTATGTGCATCAGCTATTCACTTTCGACCAGTATGCAATCCGGTCACTGGCTACTTGTCCTAGTTTTACTAGTAACTTATTTCTTACTACAAGTGACTATACTACTAGGGACAATAGTTATTAGCAGTTATTTCAGGCTCAGCTATTACCTATGAATTATAATCCAATTAACACTAGTAAGATTTTAATCTTAACAAAAAATTATAATAAGAAAAACAAATAGGCTAAATCAGTAAAATCGATCGGTATAGATAGGTCTACTCGTCTCACAACTAAGGTATTGGCATATAATAAATAGTCTCTATTGGTAAACTTAAGTAAATAAAAAAAAAGTCAAACAAATAAAGAGTTGGTCATATAACACACATTTTATATTTTATGCAATCTATGTTTAAACGGTTATAACATACTGTAATGTAGTGTTGCCATGAATGCATATTAAATGAACTCGTATCCGTTGCAAAGGTTTCTAAAGCAATGAGAAACTTGATGGGGTCGGTGAGCAGTAACGTGATTGTTTGACGCTGGCTTACCGTGCAGGTCGGCGGGAACGCGTGATACAGGAGCGTGAACAGGCAGCAGCTGAAGCAGAGGAGCACGCTGATGGACTGGATTAAACACACCTGTCGCCGCAGTGAGTAGTACTTTGTCCTCAAACGGCTCACGGTCTCGGGCTCGGGCTCCATTAAAACTGCGTAGACTTTACAGGCTGCCTCTTCGTTTGCCACCTCCATAACGGACAGTTTAAAAGCGCCGCTCCATGTCCTCGGACTCCTCTATATATACGTATATTTCTCCCACGTGTTTTCTTCAACGCCCCAAACAAACAGCCTACTCGTGGAGTTTCGGCGCTATGAAAACACGAGGCTCTCAGTCCCGTCAATCCAGTGTCGCTTCCTGCTTTGCTGCAAGACCTGCTTGACTCCGAGCCAAATTCTTACAGCCTGAGGAAATAAACAATTAGACATTTCGTCATAGCTAGTAAGTGAGTGTTCTAAGCTGTAAAGCAGTGGTTCTCCACCTTTAATGAGCCAGCAGCCTTCTAGTTATTATCCAGGTCCAACACCCTCAGCAAGAATAAAAAAAATCCTGATAACCTGACAACCCCATGTCATCCAAGATGTTAATGTCTTTCTTTCTTCAGGCGAAAAGAAATTAAGGTTTTTGAGGAAAACATTCCAGGATTTGGTGGACTCGAGTGGTCTTCAATGGTGGTCAATGATGTTGAAGGTCCAAATTACACTTTCAATGCAGCTTCAATGGTCTCTACACGATCCCAGTCAAGGAATAAGGGTCTTATCTAGCGAAACGATCGGTCATTTTCTAAAAAAAAAAAATTCAAATTTATATACTTTTTAACCACAAATGCACATCTTGCACTAGCTCGACTTTACGTAGTCACATTGGAAAGGTCATGCACAGTCAGCTCTTTGTCTGTGTACTCCGGTTCAGAAAGGTAGGGTAGAGCAAAAAACTCCATCTCATTTTCTCCTCCAACTTCAAAATTGTCTGACATCGTTGTTTTACCTTTTTTTTTTTTTTTTGTAAAGGGCGTTTAACTTAAGTCTTTGCACGTTCGCTTTGTAATGCGTGAAGTCGAGCTAGTGCAAGACAAGCATTTGTGGTTAAAAAGTTATATAAATTTTTGTTTTTTTATAGAAAATGACCTTCAACCCGTTGGCCACCATTGAAGTCCACTATATGGAGAAAAATCCTTGAACGTTTTCCTCATAAACCTTAATTTCTTTGCGACTGAAGACAAAAAGACATGAACATCTTGGATGACATGGGGGTGAGTAAATTACCGGAATTTTTTATTCTGGAAGTGAACTTATCCTTTAATGTTTATTAACTTTTTTTTTTTTTCTCTCTTCAATTCTCTTTTGTTTTTGGAAAGCTGGTAAAACCTGTGTGAGCAAAGTCAGTAGGTTTTAGTCCAATGCAATAAAATTTTTGGAAAAAAGCAATTAGATTACTGTTTTATTTTTCAAGAAGTTCCAGATCACTTCAGTAAGACATTTGTCCTTTGTTCGCTTCATTTTACCATGGATTTGTTTTTAAACAAGACACACCCCGATGATGATATAGTATTATTATTGGATCCAGCAGCAATGTTGCAACACACAAGTGTGAGTAATAGAGTTTTATCATGTGTCATACTGAGTATTTATTCGTTTTTAACCAAAATGACCCATGTTGTTTTCAGAGTACATCACAGCAGTGTCCATCTATTATTTTAATATGCAAAACTGTTAGCCAATCATAGCAGTGGGCATTTACTTCCAAGTACAGAAAATAGCCTATTACTTCTAAATTATGATGTTTTTGATGTAAAAATCCACAATTGATCATCTTCTGCAGAGGTGGTCTTTCCTCACACTATAACGTCATACTAAATTGAAATACGAAACAAAAGAGGATTTCTCAAATCATGACTTTTTAAAGAATACTTTCCAGGAAAGCACCAATAAGCATGTGAGATGATTAAAGTGATGCTTTGCTTCATAAGCACCACTCAGAAGTTTAAATACAATACTTTCTCAAGCCAACATAATTTAAAAAAATTTGAACATTTACCTGACAACTTGATATTTACAAACAATACCCTTGTCCTCAGAACACACAATACAGTTGACTCTTGCCTGAATGTAACCTTGTGTTGTTTAAAATGTAAGTTATCCAAAATATTTACCAGTGTAACGTATTTATGAAACACTATCATAGCCACAGATTAGTCCCACATTTAGTCCCAAAAAAAATCAAAAACCAAAAACACTGGCCAACTTGCTAGATGCGTAAATACTTTTATATTACATCAAAACTTTAAATTAAAACCTCTAACAGAATCATTTTGCAGCAGCACATAGAACTTCTATACTCTGGAAGAAGATTGTGGAAAAATGGTATAGAAATGGCACAAGGCCAGGAATGATACACATTGCCAGGCATGTGGGTTTTAGGTATGTAGAACAGTCAAACAACTGTTGCCAAGAGAAAGTTCTGACAAAATGTGGATTGCATTATTGCAAACAGCTTGTTTGGATAAAGCTTCAAAACTGTGGTGTCAAATTGCCTATTGTTTGTCTAGTGCAGAAAAAAGAAATGTGAATAATTTTTGTGAGTAATGACATTTCCCCCTCCTTTCATTGGAAGGGTTTTGGTAACTTGTAGGGAAATCTCTTTCTTACATCTCTCCGAAGCACTTTGAGCTATGGTTTATTCTGTTTAGTTTGTGAGGATTATTGTTTTTGCAAGTCCACATTAAACGTACAAAAACTTAAAAAATAAAAGTGCCTTGCTTTTGTCTGAGGTTCCTTTTTTCTGCAATTATTCATTAAACATCTCCCGTTTTACTATCACTTTGACTGTTTGGGCACGTGGCTGTCATTATGTTTGACACAATCAGGATATAATCTCGGCCCAGACTTTCCATTTAGCTACTGGAAGCTTACACCAATCTTGCATAAAAGGAATGCTGCTTTTCAGCTATTTTCCATCCTTGTTGTATTTCAAAGTGTTTCTTATGTTTAGATAAAAAAAAATATCCAAACATGAGTGCATGAGGTAGGTCATGCATTCATAGCATTCTTGTTGCTATCCGAGTCATGTCTGAAGGTTTAATTGATAGTTTCAAAAACATAATGATATACACAGATCGCTCACACTCAACTTCATGCCTCATTTGTTACAAAGTGTTCCAGCTATTCATTGCAACTCAGAACATGGTGATACATTTAACTCTTAAAATAGCAAAATAAAATCCCCTTTATTGGACCCAAGAGGGTTAGTACAGACAGACACAATGAAAAATGTAGATGTATCATTATCAAGGCTCTTTACTCGTGGTTTATTGAAGTGATTCAACACTGTGTAAATGTCAAATATTGCCATAAAATGATTTTTCTCAACCACATAGATCTCCAACTGACTGTGCATACTTGGTAAATTTTTTCTTGCCTTTACTATTCTGCAGTAAATTGTTGATTCAGTCTGTATGAGTATGAAAAATGGTGGTGGGACACACACTTTCGGTGACGCTTTCTGTAGGTTGCATAGTTATGTCTGTAGGTGGAGACAAATGACTGAGTCAAGTTGAATCGTTCACTCAATAGATTCATTACTGATTCATTCAGGAATCAAACACCATCACTGTTGCTTTGTTTTGAGCTTTTTAGGTTGCCAGTAATTGTCTAAAATGTAAGTTACTCAATATTAATGTTTTTGCTTAATGTTTTGTGATACATTAATTATTAATTTCAGGATTGATTAAAAGAGCATTCAAAAACAGCATTTATTTAAAATAAAATCCTTTGGAACATTATAAATGTCTTTGTTGACACTTATGATAAATTTAATATGTCCTTGCTGAATAAAAGTATTAATTTCCTCTACCGAACAACAGCACTGTTGCTCATGTGATAAGTTGATGTTAAGTAATATACTGCATCTGGATTTGAAAAAGAGTTGTCCAATTAACTGTCAGTTTACAGTGTTTTCTCTTTTTTGTAGCCGTCACGGACATACTTTAGGTGCACAAAATATGCTTGATAGGCCTGTAAACGAAAGCAATTTAATGATTTAAAAATGATTCACATGTACATTCACCTCAGCCAGGAAACAATCCACGCATCCATCTTTGATCATAATCAGTCGATAGCATTCAGTCATATCAGTATAAAGATTCCAGACAAATGGCCGTCATCCAGCAGCTCTCGCGTAAAAGAAGGGTTGGGTCAGAATTACTCTTGGCTGAGCTGGACAGAGCTGCACCCTCGAGGAACTAAGGCTCTCCTGAATATGAAAACTTCCAACAGGCTAATTTGATTCAGTTCTTTGTAAAGCTTTTGATTAGCAGTTCAACAGTATTTTTGTGAGCTAGTGGGAAAATACGGTGAAACCAAAACACAGCTGTAGGCTGATCAGGGTTGCAACATAAATTGCAATTTGAAAAATTATGCAAACTATTGTTCTTACAAATGGCATATACAGGTGCATCTCAATAAATTAGAATGTCGTGGAAAAGTTCATTTATTTCAGTAATTCAACTCAAATTGTGAAACTCGTGTATTAAATAAATTCAATGCACACAGACTGAAGTAGTTTAAGTCTTTGGTTCTTTTAATTTTACATTTAACAAAAACCCACCAATTCAATATCTCAACAAATTAGAATATGGTGAAATGCCAATCAGCTAATCTACACACACACACACCAACTATAGTAACAACGACGTGATATGATTGGAATCGCATTCATACTGATTTTTTTTTCCAGCTAATGAATGATAAAAACAATTGACAGCCAATCAAAATCCATCCTGCTTTGAAGAGCTGGAGCATTTTAAGCAGTAGATTACAAAACTGCATCACATGCTTATAATAGACAGAATGTTATTGTGTGTTGGTGCATTGGCTAATGTAGTTATCATTCCTGGTGTGAACAGACCTTTAAAGGTAAAATGTGTAATTTCTGCAAAAATATTGACTATTGCATTTTCCATTGGTCGGTCTAGCAGATAGCCCCACCCAAAACTCACGTGATTAGTTGAGAAGTTGGTGTGTCAGGCCGGTTGGGATGATCAAGCAAACAGAGCAATGTTTTGGTAGCACCACAATTTGTGAAATCAATCTGTAACAAACTCAGAGTTGTCTGTCCACATTAAACTGGGAAAGCGAAGTTATTTTAAACCAATAGTTCACCCAAAAAATAAAATTCTGTCATCAATTCCAAACCAATATGGCACAAAGTAAGTGAAATATTTTGAGAAATGTTTAACTCTTTTGTCCATATAATGAAGATGAATTGGGTCCAAAACATTGTTTTTAAATACCTTCTTTCATGTTCCACAGAAGAAGTCACACAGGTTTGGAGTGACTTGATTTACAGAATTTTCATTTTGGTTTCCCTCTAACATTTAAAAAAGACACACCCCCACAAGCAGTCTGAAAAAGTATCTACCGTCTCATTGAAGAATGTCCTTTGATTCAGTAATCCTTTAATTTCAGTCATTTAACCAGTCAGTAATGAGAAAATACAGTATTTTCCACCGTCATCCCATTGTATACTGTGAGTTATTAACACATAACCTGACTAAATAAATTAGAAAGAAAAAAAGAGGAGAAAATAAGTCTTTGAGGTTGTGCTCACAACTCGGCCTACAGAGTGTGCATTCGGTATGGTACACTGTACAATGCAGCATGAAGATTGAAAAACATCAATAAAATAAGACCACAGGGACAAACACAAATGATAAATAAATAGGAATTAACAAGACAAATTTGAATAGAACACAAACATATACAATAATTCCAACACAGGTCGTTTGTCCAAATCATCAAAATGATCCTGAATCACATTTAAAAGGGTCCTTGCAGACAAATGGAGGAAAAACACACATCGTGTCCACCGTCGTACCTTATAGGTTCCCAAAAACAGTCTTTCCACTTCACAAAGTCCTCTGAACACGCTCCTCCTAGGTCATATTTTGCTTACATGGCTTAATGTGTCAAACGTTTGATCAGTTTTTGTGAAACTATGCAGCAGAATCAATCCAGTCTTTTTGTACATTCCTGCGTAGAATCCAGCTCTACACAGTTAGATCTGAAACTGTTCCCACACACAACACTGGCTCTCTCTCTCTCGCTCTCCCACGCACGCACATACACATCCACCCACTCGCACATAAATACAATAAGGCTGAAACAGGTGCTAGTGGTACAGGTATGACTGTTATGTAGCATGTTCAGTTTGGTACCAATCTGTGACAGGAATCGTATAAAGAGGAAAACGAAGCGAGACTGCATTCCAAAGAAATCCAAAGTCCCGCCATTGTATGAAATAGTATCTGTCAAAGACACACGCACATACGTAAGACTTGAAACTGGCAGTCTTTGTTTCCTTTACAAAAGCATTGCAGACTGACTGAACTTCCTCTGGTTTCCATTGAATATTGCAAAGCCGAAGTGAATTTCCCAGGCGGTGCAATTGACACAGTCTGAAACCTTGTTTGTTTTCTATACAAACAGCAGTTTTAGGTGAACTTATCTTGCCATTTGTATCCAAAGGTCTTTGAGTGTCCTCTGAAATAGTTAAATCCCCATTCATGTATATATCAACTGAAGATTAGCATCCATAAACCCAAACTAACACAGTTTAGAGCTCGTTTAAAGGGTTAGTTCACCAAAAAAAATGAGAATTCTGTCATTAATTACTAACCCTCATGTCGTTCCAAACTCATAAGAGGTTTGTTCATCTTCTGAACACAAATTAAGATATTTTTGATTCAATATGAGAGCTTTCTGACCCTGCATAGACAGCAACGCAACTGAAACACATCATTAAAATTGTCCATGTGACATCAGTGGTTCAACCGTAATTTTATGAAGCTACGAGAATACTTTTTGTGTGCAAAGAAAACAAAAATAGCAACTTTATTCAACAATTAAAGTACTCCCGTGAAAGCCAGCAGAGACTGGCACGGAAGGGAAGAAATTGTTGAATAAAGTCGATATTTTTGTTTTCTTTGCGTACAAAAAGTATTCTCATAGCTTCATAAAATTACGGTTGAACCACTGATGTCACATGGACTATTTTAACGATGTCCTTACTTCCTTTCTGGGCCTTGAATGTTTCAGTTTCTGTCTATGCAGCATCAGAAAGCTCTCGGATTTCATCAAAAATATCTTAATTTGTGTTCCGAAGATGAACGAAGGTCTTACGGGTTTGGAACGACATGAGGGTAAGTAATTAATGACAGAATTTTCATTTTTGGGTGAACTATCCCTTTAAGATGCAATTTATTCGCATTTTATCATTTTTGTGTCCAAGGAGTAACATGTTAATGGCTTGTCCTGTATTTGCTTGAATGCTCTCTGAAATGTTTCAGGAAATATTGTACGTGAAAATGCTTTGCACGAGGATATCACATAGGAAGCAATGCGGAGCTAAATAGTGTGTAGAATCAAATAAAGAAATCAATAATCAAAATTAACAGGATAGTTCGCCGAAAATGAAAATGTGGTACTTTACTCACCCTCATGTCATTCCAAACCTGTTTGACTTTGTTTCTCAGTGTAACACTAAAAAAGTTATTGAAATTGGCCCGATGTTGTTTCGGACCCCACTGACATTCAGTGCCTTCAAAACATCTTCCTTAATGTTCCACTGAAAAAAGAACATCAGGTTGGACATGAGAGTGAGTAAATGATGACAGAATGTCCATTTTTGGCTGAAATGTCCCTTTAAGAAAAGATACAATCGTACCGACAACTTCACGCTTTGTACATGTTGGCGGCAGTAGCGAGTGCTAACTGCCCATTGGCCGCAACCACACACGGCTCCTCCTCCAATAGTCCGTTGGGGTCGGCGTGCGGGATGCTGTCGTGGTAGCTGCTGAAGCTGATGTTGTCCTCCTTCAGCTCAATGGTCCAAAACGGGGCGTTGAGTTTCCTATTGCGGTACTCACGATACGTATACACGCCTCCGACGAAGCCCATGAGGAGAACGACCACCACGATGATGACGGCGAGGATGATGATGTTAAACTGCGTCCAGGACACTACTGTCAGGGCAGAGGCCGTGCTGTTGTGTCCTGAGGAGTCTCCCGTGCCGGACTGAAGGGTCGGTAGGCTTGGATGGGTGGTAGGGGAGGAGGAGAAAGTGAGGAGGCGGGAAGCAGGTGTAGAAGCAACAGAACTTGTGGATTTGGGGATTTCTGTAGTGGAGGTCTTGATGTCTTGAGTTGGGAGGATTCTCACAGCTGAGAGAGAGAGAGTTAATGATTGAAATGGTTAGTGTGTCTAAAGACATGATAAAGGATATAAATGAAAAATGATTAACTTAGAGTTTTAGCTGAACACGTATTCAAGATTAATCGCAAATCAGCTAAGAAACCAAAGAAAATTAGGATTAGGACTGCATGAATAACCGTGTAAAGTTTATCAATTATGAAACAGGTTCAATTCAGTGAAAAGCAGCTCTACAGAATAGAACAATATTGCTGTTATTGTTGAACGCTCCCATTAAAAGCAACATAAATGGGAAATGTATCCTCCAGCACACTCATGACAGCTTGTTATAGTTTGTACAAGATGTCACAATTGTATGGCATTTATAATTTATTTAAAATGTGAATAACTGTTTTGTTTTTCATGCTGCTAAGAGGGTCAGTGTAAAGTTGTCTACTAAATACTTTCATTTAGGAACACAGTTTTTAGCTTTTTTTGTGTGTGTGTATATATATGTATGTATATATATATATATATATATATATATATATATGGATGTGTGATGAGGATCTACGAATAAAACAATGTTGACATGACTTTTTTTAATAAGTAGATCCACATTTTTCTTGTATATTTTTTATCCTTTGAACA